TTTTGCTATTTTTTTTTCCTTCTGTTGTGTTTTGTTTCCTCTTTCTGGTGGTTGCTCATGTTGGTTCTAATTCTTACTTACAACATCACTAATGTGAAATTATGTTTAATTGGAATGTATATGTATAACCTATATCAGATTGCGTGCCATCTCGGGGAGGGAAGTGAGGAGGGAGGGGGAGAAAAATTTAAAACTCCATAGCTTATGGAAGTAATTGTTGATAATTCAAAATAAATTAATTTTAAAAAAAGAAAAAGAAATGAGCAGAACCAGGAGAAAATTAGACACAGCAGCAGCCACATTGTGCAATGACTGACTTTGATAGACTTGGCTGTTCTCAGAAATGCAAGAATCTAAGACAACTCCAAAAGTCTCATGATGGAAAATAATATCCACATCCAGAGATAGAACTATGGGGTCTGAATGCAGATGAAAGCATACTATTTGCTCTCCTTTTCTTCTGTTGTTTTGTTTTTTTGTTTCATTCTCGAGGTTCCTTCCATTAATTCTAATTCTTCTTTGTATCATGACTAATGTGAAAATATGCTTAAAATAAATGTGTAAGTAGAGCCTATATCAGATTGCACGCCATCTTGGGGAGGGGGGAGGAGAGGGAGGAGGAGAAAATTTAAAACTCAAAATTTTATGGAAGTGAATGTTGAAATTAATTTTTTTAAATAATTGCATGCTAATTGATTGATTTGAAGGGCAGCTAGGTGGTGAAGTGGATAGAATACTGGGCTTAGAATCAGGAAGATTCATCTTCCTGTTCAAATCCAACCTCAGACACTTAATACCTGTGTGACCTTGAACAAGTCACTTAATCCTGTTTGCCTCAGTTTCCTCATCCATAAAATGAGTTGGAGAAGGAGATAGCAAACCACTCTAGTACTTTTGCCACGAAAACCCCAAATGAGGCCACAAAGAATTGGACATGATTGAAAACAACTCAACAGCACCAACAACAATTGATTAATTGATTGAATAACCTGGGACTAGTTTGGGCTACAGCAGCCCTTCTTCTTGGACATATCTACAATGGGTTTCACTCAGAGTAGTACAAGAAAGGGCCAAGGGACCACTTAGTTACTATATTTAAGCATGTGAAATATTTTTAGGAGACTAATATTTGTCTCCATTCCACAGAGAATACTAAGGATAAGTACGTGTGATTTATTCAGAATGGAGAAATCACGGTCAGGGAACTCTCTATAGATCACCACCCACCGATCTGTGATTGAGTAGTGACATCCCAGGTAGTTACCTGAGGCATGTAGAGGTTAAGTGAGTTGTCTGGGTCATCATGAGATCATAGATTTAGAGCTGAAAGAGGTCATTTAGTCCAGCCACTCTCATTTCATCGATGAAGCCAATGCGGTCCTGTCTCACAGCTGATAATATCAGAAATAGATTCACACAGTTTCTAAGGGTCAGAAGCAGGATTTGAACCCAGATGTGCTTGGCACCAAAGTCCAGCACTCTTTCTACCATGCCAGATTGCCTTGTACTAGAGAATGGGTTTACAACCATGTCAGAGAGATTTTAGCTGGCTGTAAGAAAGAATTCATTAACAGGGATTCTTAACCTTTTCTGTGCGATGGACCCCCTTTGAGTCTTTGGCAATCTGATGAAGTCTATGTACCTCTTTCCAGAATAATGTTTTTAAATAATGGAAGGAAATATTAAATTTCAGTTAGAAGTTATTGAAAATAAAGGTTTTTTTCTTTTTCCAAATTCAAGTTCATAAACCCCTAAAATCTGTCTGCAGATCTCAGATTAAGAACTCCTGGTTTAGACATTCATTGACCTAAAGGCAAAGAATGAGACCATTTCAAAGGTTTCTTCCAGAACTAATTACGTATTGATTTTATGATTTCTTGAGATCCCTTGCAGTTCTCTTGTGGTGCAGTGAAAAGAATGCTCAATTTGGAATCTAAAAATTAACCTAGATTTGAATCTTGTCTCTACTACTTACTACCTGTGGCAAGACTTTGGGCCTCAGATTTCCTGTCTGTAAAATGAAGGACTAGGTGACCTGTGGTCCTTTTTTGCTCTCAAACTATATAATCCTATGGTCTTATAAGGTTTAGTGGCTTGGTTGTCTATACTGCTGCCCAACAGAATTTATGAAATTAACATTTTCCTTTAGGCAGGAGTTAAAGGCTATATTTCTGATGGATGTTCTTGACTTACTACAACATTTCTTTTCTACGTGGGCATTAACAGCTGGAAAAGTGCAATTAGCTGGCATGATATAAAGAGTGTAGGACTTGGAGTCAGAGAAACCTGAGTTCAAATTCTGCCCTACATACTGTGTGACTTTGGGCAAGTCACTTAACATCTATCTATGTGTCTCAGTTTCCTTAACTGTACAGTTGGAATAATAACAGTGCCTGACTCATAGGGTTATTGTGAGAATCAAATGTGTTAAGATATTCAAAGTGTTTTGCAAACCTTAAGCACTATATACAGTAATCTCTGTTATTACTAAGTAAAACCTTTTAGATATTCCATATATCCAAGATTTATGTAATATTGCATGGAGAATTTTCATGGGAATGAAAATTAAATCTTTGATTTGTTACCCTAAGAACAGTTTCTATATTTGTCATGCAGTCATTATGTGGAAATATGCTTGTTTTTTTTTCCCATTCCTTAGTCTTTGTGTTTTGCATAAACCTTTTCTCCCATTTCTTTTTCTTTTTCAGTCAGATGTCATGGATCAGAATTTATTAAATTTCCTTCCAGAACAGGAACATTCAGAAGTTTATAAGATGCTCTCTTCTCATATGCTTGTGACTGACTCTTCCTCTCCAGAATACTTAAAATGTAAGTTTGGCTTTACTATTGGAATAGGATTTTTATTTTTGAATAAATGATATCTCAAGAGTAGTTTTAGAAAGAGAAACTGATTGCAAGAACAATTATTGTACATAACAAATTTTTGTGGCCGTTAGAAATATAGCTCAAGTTTAAAGCAAAAGTTGCCATTTGATAAATTATGAAGACAAAAAAAAAATGAGAGATGTACTTTTTAGCAGGGTCTAATGGCACAGACCTGCAGTCCCTGCTTCTGGGGAGCCTGAAGATAGTGTTAAGCCTGATGAGGTTATGCCTCAGTTGGGCTAAAGCTAATAGATGTCCACACAAAGTCTGGCACAAATGTGAGCCCTTGGGTATTTGGAGAGCCACCAAGCTGCCTAGGGAGAGGCAAAATGGTCCACATTGGAAAAAACAAGGCAGGTTAGAGCTTCTTTGCTAATCTGTATTGGAAAGAGGCCCTTGAGTGGCCACTGCACTTCTAAGAGAGACCAAGAAAGGAAAAAAAACGAATAATTAAGTAAATAAAGAAATAACTTTTCTTTTTTACATTTGAAATATGAGAGAATTTGGCTTAGAAAAATCACAGCTCACTTTTCATGTTTAACAGAAGAATCTGTTATGTGAGGCAGAGATTCTGCTGGTGATAATGAATTCTAGAATCCTTGAACTCTCTATTCATCTTGCAAGGCCAAACAATTGCTGTGTCTACACAATGTGAAACATCTGGACGAAAAACTGAAAAATTCTATCAAAAATCCAGATGCTTTGTCCACATGATGCCAAACATCTGAATATTGAAATACATCCGGATTCTTTAACTGATTTTTTTGTTTGTTTGTTTATAATCCAGATGTCTGGCAGCATGTAGATAGAAATTGATATCCTGATCTTTTTTCAGACCAGCCTTTCCATTCAGAAGGATTTTTGTCCCCATAAAGACACAGAGGGCAAGACCTTAATCTTTAGTGAAATGTCTATCATTTAGTGAAGCATATAAAATTACATTTATAAGGGTAGCAATGATTCTTTGCCCTGTTTTCAAATTTTAACCCGTTTTCCAGGACAATTTATTCTGTCATCCCTCTATACTTCAAAGCAGGCAAAATAAAAGAGAAAGAGAGGCTTATGTGAGGAGTTTACTTTTAATATACCATACAAAAGCAGCCACAGCTAATCTATGCTGACATAATCAACCACAGACATTTGTGAGCAAATCAAGGCTAATTGTGTCCAAATGTGGGATATGAAATGTCTATGAAATTTAGAAAGAAAAACCTATACAACAAAGGTTATAAACAGGGCCTACCAGTCGGTCATAATGAGAGAAATATCCTGGCAGTGTCTGCACAGACTAAATTCACGTAGGAGTCTTCACAAAGACACCACTTGTTTAGTCTAGTTTCTGTGTAATGCTTATATCTCCTCTCTCCCTTCCTTTTCTTTTTGATGATCCAGCTGACAACGATTTAGAGTTTTATTGTCATCTTCTCAGAGGCAGTTTGAATCCAAAGGAATTTCCAACATATGAATACATAAAATTTGTAGGAAATTTTCGGTCCTACGACAACGGTAAGCTTCAATTTGTCATATCCATGTTTTGGTGCCTTTTATCATGCAAAAGTGCATATTGGGGCAAAGGAATTGCAGAGTAAGGAGGAGGCAGAATGTGTTTTTCAGATTTTGGCCTGAATCTTAGAGCCCTTGAAATACATTTTTATATTCATAAAAAGGATCTGCAGCTCGACGGAAACATGCCCCCACATTGACTTGTGCCACTTCCAGGGTCCCACTGAAATTGAGCTTATTCATTTACTTATTTTCTGGTTGACAAAATAATCATGCACTTCAATAGAAACAACTCATGATTAATAAAGAACAGGCTTTTAGCCTACATACACACTTGGGCTTAAATAGTCCTTTTTTTCTACTCAAACATCCACAAACTTGGATTCTTCCTCATCTCCCCTTGTTACAACTGGACTACTGATGAAATGTTTCAGTACTGATGGCTTGGCAACATAGAATGAGTTGATTACGTTTCTTTTTAAATAGGTAGAGGGAAATGTAGTGTTTTAACAGTTATCTCTTAATGCATACAGTGCCGATAACCTTAATAATTTAGACCAAGGAACTTTAATTTCTGAAAAGCAGCCTATTTGCCTGAATTACCTAGTTAATTGCTTCAGCTGTACACTATAGTGTACCTGGATAATGCCTGTCTTCAAAACAGACTTAGAAATCCCCAAATTTATTTTTACCTTTGACCCAAGTAAAATTTGAACCCAGGATTCTTTTGAGCAATCTGAAATGCCATTGGATCATAGATCTAGAGCTAACCGGGGCCTCAAAGTTTAAGCAAGTTGCCCAGAGTCACACAGGTAATAAACATCGGCTTCAGGATTTAAACCCAGATCCTCTGACTTCAGAAACAATATTCTTCCCACTATGCCATTCTTCTTTCTCATCAAACATTACATTTCCCTATTTAGAGAGCTTTGTTCTCTAACCTATTTGGGAAGTAGAGGAGCTTCGTGTATTGACCAGTCAACAAGCATTTGTGCCTTTTATATGCTAGGCACTGTGCTAGGTTCTCAGGAAACTGATAGAAATGAAAGATAGCCCATGTCCTCAGGTAGCTTACATTCTATAAGGGTATTTGCTCTTCCATAAATCTCACCACCAAACAGGAAACTTGCCATTTTTTTTTCTAGAACACCAAAAGTGAAGGAAAAAAATAATAGGTATTTTTAGTAGGAAGAAAATAGGGAGGAAGGGAGGAGATAAGAAGAGGAAAGCAGAGAGATGAACACAAAATGCAAATGACTTGGCATACAGATAATGGCTTTGGTCATGATTTTTGCTGCTTCTGCCTTGGTTAACTCTGAACTTATTGTCATAGCCAAATGAAAAACAGTCCTACCTTCAAGGAGCTTACATTTATTCTACTGTACAATATGTATAGATAGAAGGTCCTGTTGTTATCGCAGTGTTCAGTTACTTGAGTCCCCACCATTACAACCGAGTTGTGATTTGTTTTATTTCAGGCATGTAATTCACTGGCATAGGGAGCTTCCAATGAGGAAATCCCCTCTATCAAAGCAGTTCAGCAGTTGTTCTGCACCTTGTCATCTTAGAAAGTTGCCTGGGACATTTAGGGGTGAAGTGATTTACCCAAAGTCACCTGGCCAATATATGTAAGAGGCAGGATTTGAACCCAATCCTGGGTTCTTACCCATTAAGTTAAGGAAAATTCTACCTTGCTTCTCCAGGGATTTAAGCTGGCCATATATGTCAGAGGCAGGACCTGAATAAACCCTTGTATTTCCTGACTCTAGTGCGAAATCTATCAAATATGCTATGCTGTCTCCCCATCAGTTGTGACAACATGAAAATGTTCATCAACAAATAGACCTGAAAAATAGTCCTTGGAAAAATAGTCCCCAATGAAACACATACTGCCTTAATATTAGCATCCCCTCCTCATTAGGTTAACATCTTTGTTGGTCTGTCTCTCACTAATTGTTGGTAAGAGCTTCTAAGAGGATGATTTGAATATCAAAGAATTTGGAGAGGACCTTGAAAAAAATTTATGAAAGCCTGAATATTTTTGCAACACTGACCTTCTTTGATTGGTGCTGTGAAAAGCAAATTTGAAGTGAAAGAAGCTATATCCTGTCATGCAATTTTGTTGAAAAAAAAAAATGCCAGTAAAACCAACACTTGATTGAGCCTTTGTGCAGTTTAAGAATTAGTGCCACTTGGGGCAGCTAGGTGGCGCAGTGGATAGACCCCTGGCCTTGAAGTCAGGAGCACCTGAGTTCAAATATAAACTCAGACCAAACACTTGACACTTACTAGCTGTGTGACCCTGAGCAAGTCACTTAACCCCAATTGCCTAAAGATTAATAATAATAATAAATTTTTAAAAAAAGAATTAGTGCTACATAGTTTCACTTAAAAAGTAAATTTTATTAAATATAAAATAGACTTAGTTTTAATTTCTTTTCAAGTTAAAGTCCCAATTTAACCTTTTTTTCACTGTTTCCTATGAGATATTCCAACTTTCATGTAGATTGACTTAAAGTGGCCTCTTTTCCAGTACCATTTGTTCTGTAATAACAATACACTTAACTCACTATACTTAACTTTTTACATGATTATTTGAGCAGAGAGACAGTACCATCAACTAGGGGAAATCAGAAAAAAAGCCCATGAGCTGAATTCTAAGGGAGGTTAGGAATTCTGAGAGGTAGAGATGAGGAGGGAATGCATTTCAGATATGCAAAGGCATGGATGTAGGAGTTTTGTTGTTGTTCAGTTGTTTCTGTTGCGTCCGACTCTTCCTGATCCTTTTTTGGGCTTTTCTTGGACAGAAGAGATAGAACTCAAAATTTAAAGAATAGCAGGTTAGTCAGTTCAACTGAAACATGGAATATGTGAAGGGAACTCAGATTAAATAAGCCTGGAAAGGTCAGTTGGAACTAGATTGGGAAGGGCTTTGAATTCCAAGCTAAGAAGTTTCTATTATATCCTAGAGGTGTTAGGAAGCTATGAAAGGTACTTTATCAGGACAGTGACATAGTCACACTTGTCCTTTAGCCAGACTAACCAACGTTTTCTAGAATCAAGAGAAAGGATTTCTACACTAGGCTAGCATACATTTGGGTCCACCTTAGTGGTAATAAATAATTCACTGAGTAAGGCTTGGACCAAGCCAATGTCCTGAAGTACAAAGCAATAGATTAGTAACAGAGATGAAAATAGGAACAAAGGATAAAATTAACTAAATTAACTAAATTAACTAAGTTCAATAGGTAGACCCCATGCTTTACTCAACCCTGCCCAGCTCTCAGATTGATGAAATGAAGCTGTTAGTGGAGACGGTGGTGAAGAGTCCTTCCAGAGTTCAGAGTACTTGAAGGGAAACTGTCCCGCCTCTCCTTCCTCCTAGTATTTGTCAGAATAATAAGAAATCAGCATCCTTTGCTACTCCTTAAATTAAACATAACAGAGAGAAATTAGAAACTGACCATTAATTGGAAATGGCTGAGAGTCTTGGTCACTGTACATCCAGTGAATATTTCATTGAACCAAGAAAGGAATTGAATAGTTATTATTTAAGCCCTCTATCTGTAAAACCCCCTCTGTAGAGTCTCTGATTTCCCATGCCTGTTAGGAAGCCCCAGGTGACAGCAAAGGAAATCCTGTGATAATCACACAGTACTGATTTATATTATAACACATACACACATTTTTAGTGACCCTTTCAGATTTACCTTGTATCTGGACTAATGTAAACAGTTTTTTTTAAAGTTTTTTTTTTTAAGGTACTTGAATAATGGCAAAGTTTTGGGGGGTGGGGGGTCCATATCTGTGATGTCATCCAAATAGGGAATTCTCAGTGAGGAAACTCTCTTCTCTAGTGCCAATCTTCCTTTGTCCTACAACTTAATGACTTAGGGGGCCAATGAGAGGTTAAAGGAGTTGGGGGGGTCACATGACCAGCATTGTCAGAGGCAGAAATTGAACCCAGGTTTTCTTGCCTCTTAGCTGGCTTTCTCTCCACCACAGCACACTGCCTCTTACTATAATTATGTTATAGCCCTTGAAACAACATAGTATATCATAGATGCAACCATGAATTGATAAGAAAGTCTTCATGGACCTTGGTATATATGTGTATGTGTGTATGTATGTGTATGAGTACCCATGTAATTAAAGAAAACCTACCTACTGTATAATTGACTGATAAGCTATAGAGATTGAATCTTTTGTGAAATCACATTTCCAAAATCTCATTGAGATGATGCTGAATTTCACTTTGTAGTTTGCTGCCATTTATCATGTTTTAGAGGTTTTCAGGGAAATACATAGGCTTAATTTTGGATACCTGAAACTTATTTTATTGGCTGGGTTTCATTTACTCTTTTCTCAAGTTGAGACTGTGTTTGCCTGAAAAATGTGTTGAATTATGTGTGATTTTCTTTGGAAGGAGTGTGGGAAGAGTGTTACTGTTGTGAACAGTGGAAGTGGGAAGCTTAAAAATGAAAGAATTAAGTCTGTTAGAGCCCATTTTACAAATCAAAAACAGGATGGCTTTCTTTGGACTAGGAAAAAAAGCATATTCTTCATTCTCCGATAACTGAGATTAGTAGGTACCATCCCAAGGTGATCCTGAAATATACGCCAGAGAAAGAACAGTCCCTAGACCAAAGGTTCTCGTCCCGGGGTCCATTTTTTAAAATTTGATAATTATATTTCAATGTAATTGGTTTCCTTGCTAATCCAAAGTGTTTTTATTTTATACATTTAAATACATTAGCCTGAGAAGTCTTCTATAGACTTCACCAGTCTGACAGATGGGTTCATGATGCGAAAGGTCAAAGAACCCCTGAGAAAGAGCATTTCTACAGCATTTTTTTGAGGTCTTCCCCTTCCCTTTCTTCCACCTTAGTGTCCTCCTCTAAGGCACCTAGTACCTTAGTTCTGTTTCCTTACCTAAGTGCCGTTCCTAGGCCTCCTTTCCCTGGAGGTACCCCATGCTTTTTTCATCCACATTTCCCCATTAC